TATTTCTCCTTGGATTTATCCTGTATGGGACTCTCTGTGCTTCCTGGACTTGATTAACTATTTCGTTTCCCATATTAGGGAAGTTTTCAACTATAATCTCTTCAAATATTTTCTCAGTCCCTTTCTTTTTCTCTTCTTCTTCTGGAACCCCTATAATTCGAATGTTGGTGCATTTAATGTTGTCCCAGAGGTCTCTGAGACTGTCCTCAGTTCTTTTCATTCATTTTTCTTTATTCTGCTCTGCAGTAGTTATTTCCACTATTTTATCTTCCAGGTCACTTATCCGTTCTTCTGCCTCAGTTATTCTGCTATTGATCTCATCTAGAGTACTTTTAATTTCATTTATCGTGTTGTTCATTGTTGCTTGTTTCATCTTTAGTTCTTCTAGGTCCTTGTTAACTGATTCTTGCATTTTGTCCATTCTATTGTCCATTCTATCTCCAAGATTTCGGATCAACCTTACTATCATTATTCTGAATTCTTTTTCAGGTAGACTGCCTATTTCCTCTTCATTTGTTAGGTCTGGTGGGTTTTTATCTTGCTCCTTCATCTGCTGTGTGTTTTTCTGTCTTTTCATTTTGCTTATCTTACTGTGTTTGGGGTCTCCTTTTTTGCAGGCTGAAGGTTCGTAGTTCCTGTTGTTTTTTGTGTCAGTCCCCAGTGGCCAAGGTTGGTTCAGTGGGTTGTGTAGGCTTCCTGGTGGAGGGTACTAGTGCCTGTGTTCTGGTGGATGAGGCTGGATCTTGTCTTTCTGGTGGGCAGGTGCACGTGTGGTGGTGTGTTTTGGGGTGTCTGTAGACTTATTATGATTTTGGGCAGCCTCTCTGCTAATGGGTGGGGTTGTGTTCCTGTCTTGCTAGTTGTTTGGCATAGGATGTCCAGCACTGTAGCTTGCTGGTTGTTGAGTGAAGCTGGGTGCTGGCGTTGAGATGGAGATCTCTCGGAGATTTTTGCTGTTTGATATTATGTGCAGCTGAGAGGCCTCTTGTGGACCAGTGTCCTGAAGTTGGCTCTCCCACCTCAGAGGCACAGCACTGACTCCTGGCTGCAGCACCAAGAGCCTTTCATCCACAGGGCTCCTTAATTTGGGATGATTCGTTGTCTATTCAGGTATTCCACAGATGCAGGGTATATCAAGTTGATTGTGGAGCTTTAATCTGCTGCTTCTGAGGTTGCTGGGAGAGATTTCCCTTTCTCTTCTTTGTTCTCACAGTTCCCAGGGGCTCAGCTTTGGATTTGGCCCCGCCTGTGCGTGTAGGTCGCCGGAGGGCGTCTGTTCTTTGCTCAGACAGGATGGGGTTAAAGGAGCCACTGATTCGGAGGCTCTGGCTCACTCAGGCCGGGGGTAGGGAGGGTCATGGAGTGTGGGGCGGGCCTGCGGCGGCAGAGGCCGGCATGACGTTGCAGCCTGAGGCGTGCCGTGCGTTTTCCCGGGGAAGTTGTCCCTGGATCCCGGGACCCTGGCAGTGGCGGGCTGCACAGGCTCCCCGGAAGGGCGTGTGGCTAGTGACCTGTGTTCGCACACAGGCCTCCTGGTGGCGGCAGCAGCGGCCTTAGCGTCTCTTGTCTGTCTCTGGGCTCCGCACTTTTAGCCGCGGCTCGCGCCCGTCCCTGGAGCTCTCTCAAGCAGCACTCTTAATCCCCTCTCCTCGTGCCCCAGGAAACAAAGAGGGACGTAAAAGTCTCTTGCCTCTTCGGCAGGTCCAGACTTTTCCCCTGACTCTCTCCCGGCTAGCCGCGGTGCACTAACGCCCTGCAGGCTGTGTTCACGCCGCCAACCTCAGTCCTCTCCCGGAGCTCCGAGCCTCAGCTCCCAGTCCCGCCCACCCCGGCGGGCGAGCAGACAAGCCTCTCGGCTGGTGAGTGCCGGTCGGCCCGATCCTCTGCGCTGGAATCTGTCCGCTTTGCCCTCCGCACCCCTGTTGCTGTGCTCTCCTCCGCGGCTCCCAAGCTCCCCCACTCCGCCTCCCGAAGTCTCCACACGCAAAGGGGCTTCCTAGTGTGTGGACACTTTTCCTCCTTCACAGCTCTCTCCCGCTGGTGCAGGACCCGTCCCTATCCTTTTGTCTCTGTTTAGTTTTTTCTTTTGCCCTAACCAGGTACGTGGGGGGTTCCTTGCCTTTTGGGAGGTCTGAGGTCTTCTGCCAGCGTTCAGTAGGTGCTCCGTAGGAGTTGTTCCACGCATAGATGTATTTCTGGTGTATCTGTGGGGAGGAAGGTGATCTCCGCGTCTTACTCTTCCGCCATCTTCCCGGAAGTCCCATATATTTATTTATAGTCTTTCTGTTTTGTTCCATTGATCTATGTGTCTGTTTTTATGCCAGTACCATACTTTTTCTGATTACTATAACTTTGTAATATAGTTTGAAACCAGGAAGTGTAATGCCTCCAGTTTTGTTCTTCTTTCTCGTTTGTGGTTCCATATGAATATTTAGGATTGTTTGTTAATTTCTGTGAAAAATGCCATTGGAATTTTGATAGGGGTTGAATTGAATCAGTAGGTCACTTTGGGTTAGTATGGACAGTTTTACAATGTTAATTCTTCTAATCCAGGAGGATGAGATGTCTTTCCATTTATTTGTGTCTTCAGTTTCTTTCATCAACATCTTGTAGTGTTCAGTATACAGATCTTTTACCTACTTGGTTATATTTATTCCTAAGTATTTTATTCTTTTTGACTCAATTGTAAATGGGGTTGTTCTCTAAATTTCTCTTTTTTTTTTAATTGGTTAATTGTTTATTTATCAAGAGAAACTGTTCCTTAGCCCAGATATTCATAGTTCATAGTTTCATAGTTCAGGAACACAGGTAAGTGACAAACTTCCATGGAACTCAACCCAAAGAAATTCTTTATATCCCCAAGTCACTTTGCACTCTGAAAGATACCAACCTTCCTCACATCTCTTCAAAATATTTTATGGAATCATAATTTCTATAGAAATCTGCATATGCCTTCTTTCTTGGTTCAGCCACAGCAAACTTACAGGAAGTTGCAACTCCTAGGGAGACAGTGAGTGCTCCAACAATATGAAATCGCAGGCGCTTGGCCAGAAGGCCACACATCTGAGGTTTTGTCAAAGAACTGGAAGGCAGGGTAGTTTTTCTTGATAGCTCAACAACAACGTCCTTCCAGACTGATGGAGTAAATTTCTTTCTGATAGTTTATAGTTTACTCAGAATTAAGATTTTTTCCACTTGAAGTGAAATGTAGAAACTTTACAAGGTTATAGGTCTCTTTACCATCCATATTTTATATTGTAATTGTCCAGTGTATTATACCAGCATACACTGAAAACCTCACTAGACAATGCTATTTTTTCCTTTCAACTGTCATAATCTGATAGTTAATCACTGCAGCTTTTTGTTGATTAGTGTTTGCCTGGTAAAACTTTTTCCGTCCTTTTAAACCTGTATCTTTATATATAAGTGAATTTCTAATAGAAAGCATATAATTGGTTCTTGCTTTAATAACCAGTGATTTTTACTCTTTTACTGGAATGTTTAGGTTACTTACATTTAATGTAATTATCGATCTTTTGGGGTTTAAATCTACCATCTTGGTATTTGTTTGCTTTCTATTCTATTGCCCTTTGTTCATCTTTCTTGCCTTCTTTTGAATGAATTATAGTATTCCATTTTTTTAATGTCCTCAATTGAGTAATTAATTATATCTCTTTTTTTTTAGTGGTTGCCCTAGTGGTTAACATATGCATCTTTAACTTATCATGCTCTATCTTCAAGTACAATGGGCTGCCAGTAGCAGAAATGACAGCAGAGAAAATTAGATATCTAAGTAATTAGAGGGAATACAGAAGAGAATGATGGGATCAGCAGAGGGAATTCTAGTTATTACAGGTGGTGATAGTATATATCATATATTCTCTAACGTCACAGAAAAACAGAGACAATGATAGATTACTTAGAAATTGAATTATTAGGGATATGGAGAATTGATGGGAAATGGCTACTTATTCAGTCCTTGAAGGCATAGTACATCTGTACTTGTTTCCACATCTGTGTATTCTCAGGCAGTCATCTACATTATGCATCTACTTTATTTATTTTTTTAAATTAATTTATTTATGACTGTTGGATCTTCGTTGCTGTGCGCGAGCTTTCTCTAGTTGTGTTGAGCGGGGTCTAGTCTTCGTTGCGGTGCGTGGGCTTCTCATTGCAGTGGCTTCTCTTGTTGCAGAGCATGGGCTTCAGTAGTTGCAGCATGTGGGCTCAGTAGTTGTGGCTCATGGGCTCTAGAGCATAGGCTCAGTAGTTGTGGCGCATGGGCTTAGTTGCTCCACGGCATATGGGATCTTCCTGGACCAGGGATTGAACCTCTGTTCCCTGCATTAGCAGTTGGATTCTTATCCACTGCACCACCAGGGAAGTCCCTATGCATCTACTTTAAAGCACTCCTGAAAGCTTGTTTACCTTTGAGTGGGCATAGGTGTGTACATTTATAATGGAGAACAGGTATATTCAAACAACTACCTCTGATAACCTTCAGTGTTTTTAAAAAGCGTTACTGAGTTCTCATCAGCTCGTTTGGAATAAGAAGGATTTTCTGTTTTTGGCTTTTGAACCTACATCTATAAACAGTAGCAAATATTATTAATGATCTCAAGTTATCCAAATAAATTTATGATAAACTTTGGTTTAAGGAGACAGGACAATGTTTGTGTGTTTTGGGTTTTCTTTTTCAAACAATTATTTATATCCAAACAATGGGATTTTTAAAGATGGAGACGGGCTCTTTGTGGAAAAAAAGAAAAGTGAGTGAGTCAGAAGACCTTATTCCTACTTTGTTATGTATTTAATAATAGGAAGTACCTTGCTTACCATGTTCCTTCATTATATTTTCCTTAATGTATGTTTTATTCTCCATCCGCTTTAGTATTCTTTAGATCAGAAACTAAACTTATGATTAAATCTTTCAACATTGAAATGGGTTTTTATTCTTTAAGTTTTATACAGAACAATTTTCCTTTTATGTTTATTAACAGAAAGTATAAAAGATCAAAATCAACATACTGTGAACAAGCAATATGAAAGAGAAAGGCAAAGACTTGCTTCTGGAATAGAAGAATTACGTGATAAGTTGATGCAGATAGAAGCTGAGAACTCTGATTTGAAGGTTAACATGGCCCACAGAACTAGTCAGTTTCAGCTGATTCAAGAGGAGCTGCTAGAGAAAGCTTCAAACTCTAGCAAACTTGAAAGTGAAGTAAGCTTGAATTAGCTATTTATATGTACTGGATTTTGAGAGAAGAAAAAAGTGTTGTAGGGTTTTTGTAAAACTTGTATGTTAAAGTCCAGATTTATACACTAAAAAAAAATTAATGGTACCTCATGAGTTATAACTTCTTTTAAAATTATATTTGGAAACTTCTGGGTTTTAATATATGTTAAAAGTAGGAAAATACTGTAGTGGCTAAATTTGGTGAAACAAACTGTACTGTATTCTATTATTTCTTCCAAGTATAAGTTAATATGGCAAATACATATTTACAAGTAAAAAATTTGGATTATGTAATTGGAAAAAAGGGGTAGTAGTAGAGGATTTCAAACTTTAGCAAACAGTAGAACCACCTGGAAAGCCTGTTAAACATGCACGTTTTGGGTCCTATTCCAGTGATTCTGATTTAGTACGTATGGAGTAATGCAAAGGAATCTGCATTTTTAAACAATTACATGTGAATCTGATGCAGATATCTTATGGATTACATTCTGAAAAGGGGATAAAGTATGTTTTATGAATATCTGATCGTCATTTCCACTGAGGACAGAACAGAATTAGGTAATTGTGGACCACGTCCACGTGTGTATATGCTCTACTCACCCTTCAAACCAGAGGCTGCAGCTATCTGAGGGTACTTTTTAAATGTCTGATTTTTCATCTTAAAGTCTGTAGCCAAGACTAGGGAAAAGACCTGTGGGATAGGAACTTAAATAAGTAATGGAAAGGAGATTTAGTCAGTCTATAACTATAGCCATCAGCTTACTTAGAAAATTGCCAAGTACTGAGACGAACAACTTTTTTAAAATTAAAATATTAGCACAGTCTCGTTGAAAATACAAAAAGGGACAAAGAAGAAAATAAAACATTGATAGTTCTACCACAAGAAATTACTACTGTTAACATTTTATTGTACTAATTTCAGTCTTTAATAGCTACTTTTATGAAATGGGTTCGGGGGCAATCCTATTTGAACATAGGGATCTGAAATAAATACTTACGTATTACACAGATGGAATAAGCTATGTCATATTTCTGGTCTTCCCTTCACTGTTTTTCTTCTGAATTGTCACTTATTTTTAAAAAATAATTTTTTATTTATTTCAATGTGTTTTTAGATGACAAAGAAATGTTCTCAACTTTTAACTCTAGAGAAACAGCTAGAAGAAAAAATTGTTGCTTATTCCTCTATTGCTGCAAAAAATGCGGAACTAGAACAGGAACTTATGGTAAAAATTACCTTTTTTTTGATACAGATTTACTGTGGCTTTAAGGAACTTAATTTGTAACCGCATGTTTGTTTTAGTATCATTATTCTAAAATGTACCATATAGGAAAATATAAATTCTACCAAACTTCAGATTATTCAATTTTTATTTCTATATTTTTAAGTTATATATTTTTAAGTTAATATGGCAAGTTGTTATCTAAAGTTCCTCATTTTTATTTTAGTAGAATTGAAGGAAATGGTAGTAGTTCTTTGATATGCTTTGTAGCATTTTTAAACAATCTTATCATTTTGATACAATTTTTTAAAAAACACTTTCTCTTTTTTATAAATATTTAAATATTTTTGAAGTTGACATATTAACTACTATGATTCTTTGAAGCCTAGAATATGATAAATTTTATGCTTTACTAATGTACTTTTATGTAAAACTCTTTCTTAATTATGTTCTTTTAAAGTGTTTTTGTATTTCTAGGAAAAGAATGAAAAGGTTAGAAGTCTAGAAACCAATATCAATACAGAGCATGAGAAAATTTGTTTAGCTTTTGAAAAGGCAAAGAAAATTCATCTTGACCAGCATAAAGAAATGGAAAAGCAGATTGAAAGAGTAAGATATTAATTATGTTTTTATAAGTAAATGTAATATATATTTAGAATATGAATGCTGAAAAGAACCTTAAACATTACTAGCTCAGCTTTCTTTATTTTAATAGATGAGGAAACAAAGACATAGAAAAGTTAGTGGCAAATACTATAATTAGAATCACATTACTTCTGGATCATTTTACAATGCTCTCTCCTTTAGTACTCTTGCCATTTCAGTTTTGATCATTACTTTTTGACATTATCAAGCTAAGAGTGATTCTGTAGACTCTTTTCCACTAGAGATATTATTTGCTTGAAGATTGGTTAAGAGGAGATGCTCTCTTGATCTTGAGTTAAAAGTGAAGAGTAAAAAAAAACAAAAAACAAAAGTGAAGGAGAAACTGTGAGACCAGAAGCACAAGACCAGATAAAAAATAGATAGTTTGGATGGGTTTAATAGCAGAATGTAGCTAACACACAAATATAAACTTCAAATGTAGAGCAATAGAAATTATTCAGTCTGAGTAATAGAGAGAAAAAAAGATTTGGAAAAAAGTGAACAGAGCCTCAGAGAACTGTTGAACAATATCAGAAGGTCTAGCATTTATGTCATCAGAGTACCAGAGAAGAGGAGAATGAGACTGGTACAAAAAATATTTGAAGGAATTATGACTGATAACTTTGCAGATTTGTGAAGGAAATAAATTTACAAATTCAACAAGCTTAAAGAGGATAAAATCTTGAAAGCAGCCAGAGATAAATAACACATTGTATATAGAGGAACAAAGATTAAAATTTACTGCAGATTTCTCATCAGAAAATCAAAAACTGTGAAGGTTAGAAGACCGAAGAACTGTTTTTTTTTTTAAGTGCTGAAAGAGAAAAATTGTCAACATAGAATTTTATGTCCAGCAATAATATTCTTTAGGATATATAAGGACATTCTTAGATTAAGGGCAATTTAGAGAACTTGTTATGAGCAGACTTGTTCTAAAATAAATGATAAAGTTCTTCAGGCAAAAGAGAAATAAGAGGGAAAATTTAAGCCTCAGGGATGAAGAGCAACAAAAACAGTAAATATTTGGTTACATACTATGGACTATATTTATTCTTTTAAGATTTTTGTAATATTTATGACCGTTGAAAGAAAGAATAGAATTGTCTAGTGAGGTTTTCATTGTGTGTTGATGTAATACCTTGGATGATTACAATATAAAATAAGAATGGTATAATCTTGTAAAGTTTGTACATTTCACTTCAGGTGGAAAAATCTAATTCTGAGTAAACTATGAAAATTTAAAAACAGTTGGTCCCCTTTATCCACAGATTATATGTTCTAAGATCCCAACTGGATTCCTGAAACTGTGGATAGTACCAAACCCAATAAATACTATGTTTTTTTCTATACATACATACATACCTATGATGAAGTTTAATTTATAAGTTAGGCACAGTAAGAGAATATCCAAATGGCCAGCCTCACTACTCTTGTACTCTGGGGCCATTATTTAGTAAATTAAGAGTTACTTGTACACAAGCACTGCTGTACCATGACAGTCAATCTGATAACTGAGATGGCTGCTAAGTGACTAATGGCAGGTAGCATATACAGTGTGGATATGCTGGGCAAAGGGATGATTCACATCCTGGGCAGGAAAGAGTTTTCCTCAGGGTTTAATCATGCTACTCAGAATGGCATGATATTTAAAACTTATGAATTGTTTATTTGTGGAATTTAATATTTTCATATTACAGTTGAGTGTGGGTAACTGAAACTGTGGAAAGCGAAACTACAGATAAGAGGGGACTACTGTATGTATATTATAATCCCTAGAACAACCACTAAAAAAACTATACAGATACAGTAATATGCTAACAAATAAAATATTATAGAATTCTGAAAATATTCATATAGTTAAAAGAAGGCTGGAAAGGGGAAACAAATGAAAAATAGAGGAGACAAAGAGAAAACTAATAAAGGGGTATGTGCTTAAATTCAGGCATCTCAGATATTAATTTAGATGTAACTGTTCTAAACACACCAAATAAAAATTGAAATTGTGAGATTGAATTTAAAAAAACAAGATGCAGATATACTGTCTTTAAGAAGTCCATGTTAAATATAAAGATGTAGATAGGTCAAGTATAAAAGCATGGAAAAAGATGTACCAGGCAAACAATAATCAAAAGAAAGCTGGAGTGGCAATATAAGTATCAAAGTAGACTTTAGAACAAAGAAAATTACCAGGGATAAAATAGAAAATTGTGTAGTGATAAAAGGCTCAATTCACCAAGAAAACATAACAGTCCTAAATGTGATATGTACCTAACAAACTAATTTCAAAATACGTGAAGCAAAAGTGAAGAGGTCTGAAAGGAGAAAGAAATTAATACAAAATTATAGTTGGAGATGTCAACACTACTCTTTCCTGTAATTGATAGAATAAGTAGATTAAAAATTCAGCAAGGATATAGAACTCACCTGAACAGCACTGTCAACGAACTTTTTTTTTTCTCTTTTTTAAAAAATTTTGGCCATGCTACTTGGCATGTAGGATCCTAGTTCCCCAACCAGGGATGGAACCTCTGCCCACTGCAGTGGAATTGCAGAGTCTTAACCACTGGACCAACAACAGAATATACATTCTTCTTCAGTACACCTGAAATATTCACCAAGATATACCATACCCTAGGTCATAAAATCAGCCTTATCAAATTTCAAAGAATTAAAACCATGTATACAGTTGTCCCTTGGTATCCATGGATGATTGGTTCCAGGACCCACTGTAGAAGATCTGCAGATGCTCAAGTCCCATAGTGGGCCCTCTATATCTGCAGTTCCACATCAGTGGATTTAACCAACCACGTATCGTTTAGTACTGTATGTATTTATTGAAAACAATCGGCCTATAAATGCACCTGCACTGTTCAAACCCATGTTGTTCAAGGGTCAACTGTACTAGCAATGAACAATTAGAAGCTAAAATTTTAAAAATACTGCTATTTACAAAGCTCCAAAGAGATAAGAAATAGATGTAAATAAAACAAAATATGTGGAATATTTGTATGCTGAAAACTACAAAATGTTAAAGAAAGACCTAAATAAATGGAAAGAAATACCATTTCTGTGGATTGTAAGTCTCAATATATTTAGGATGTCAGTTCACCTTAAACAGATCTCTCGATTTAATACATTTCCAATCAAAATCCCAGTAAAAATTTTTTTGTGCGCATAGATAGCTGATTTTGAATTTTGTAATAGAAAGGCAAAGAAACTAGAATAGGCAAAACAAGTTTGAAAGAGAACAAAGTTAGTGGATTTATGCTACCGTATCTTAAGACTTACTATAAACCTATAGTAATCAAGACAGTGAGGTATTAACAAAATAATAGACACATAGATGAAAGGAACAAAATATAGGGTCTAGAAATAGACCTGGCAAATATGGTCAACTGATTTTTAACAAAGGTACAAAACCAATTCAGAATGGAGAAAGAATAGTTTTTGAATGAGTAATGCTGGAACAATTGGACATCCATATGCAAAAAGATGGAGCTGCAGTATATACCTATATAAAAATTAATTCAAAGTGAATCATATATTTAAATATAAAATAAAAAGATATTAAAACTCAGAAGAAAACATGGGAGAAAATCTTCATGACCTTAGGTTAGGCAAGAGTTCTTAGATATAAAACCAAAACAATATAAGGGGAAAATTGATAAATTGGAATTCATCAAAATTAAAAATGTATGCTCTATGAAAGACATTATTAAGAGAATGAAAAGACAAGCTATAAACTGGGAGAAAATATTGTAAATCACATATCCAGCAAAGAACTTTTACCCAGCATATATAAAGAATTCTCAAAATTCATCAATAAGAAAGTAATCCCATTTTTTTAATGGACAAAGACTTGAATAGATACTTCATCAGAAAAGATATACAAATGGCAAATAAGCATATGAAAATATGTTGAACTTGATTCATCATTAGGAAAATGCAAATTAAATGCACAGTGAAATACTACTGCATTCTTGTTAGAATACTGAGAGAGAGAGGTAGAAAGGAAGGGAGGAAGGAAGATCTGACAATAGCAAATGCTACCCAGGATGTGAAACAACTGGTTTTCTCATATATTGCTGGGGATAATGCAAAGTAGTAAAACTACTGAAACAACTTAACATCTTCTTATACACTTAACATATGACCCAGCAGTCTTAGATATTTGTTCTAGACAAATGAAAACTTATCTTTACACTAAAACCTACTACAAATGTTTATAGTAGGTTTATTCATAATTGCCAAAAACTGGAAACTACCCAGTGTCTTTCAATGAGTAAATGAGTAAAGTATGGTACCTCAATACAATGGAATACTACTCAGTAATAACAAGGAATAATCTATTGATTCAGGAGAAAACATGGGTGAATCTACAAGGCTTTATGCTAATGGAAAGAAGCCAATTGCAAAATGTTGTATACAATTCTATTTCTTTGACATTCTCAATAAAGTCAAAAGCTATAGGATGAAGATCATTTTATTGATTGCCAGGTGTTGGGAAGGGTGGAGAGTTGACTATAAAGCAAGTGTCCCCAACCCCCGGGCCATGGAACAGTACCTGTTAGGAACCAGGCTGCACAGCAGGAGGTGGGCGGCAGGTGAGCGAGCAAAGCTTCATCTGTATTTACAGCCACTCCCCATTGCTTGCATTACCACCTGAGCTGCACCTCCTGTCAGCATTATGGTGAGTTGTATAATTATTGCATTATATATTACAATGTAATAATAATAGAAATAAAGTGCACAATAAATGTAATGCGCTTGAATCATCCCGAAACCATCCTCCCCACCCCCATCCGTGGAAAAAGTGTCTTCCACGAAACCAGTCCCTGGTGCCAAAAAGGTTGGGGACCGCTGCTGTAAAGGATTAACATGAGGGGTCTTGAGAGTGAAGGAATCATTCTGTATCCTTATTGTGATGGGAGTTTTATGAATCTATGCATGTATTAAAAAACCTC